GAAGGATTTGACGATTTCATGTATCCTTTGCGTACCGTATAAATATTCCAAGGCCGTATTGCCTTGCACGGCGGTGTTCATCTCCATACTGTACATCCCGAACAACTTGACGACCATAGCGAAGCCCCATCCCTGCTGCAATTTGGAGAAAATTGAATTGTCAACGAACGCAGTGTCTAGACCGATTCCAGCCGCGACCAGTTTGTGCTTTCCTGGCAGCTCGTGTTCGACTGCAAAGAGGAGGGTAAGCTTGCCGAAAGGCTCGACGCTGGCCCAAACTTGAAGGCTGTGAAGAGACTTGTTAAATTTTAGAGTGCGATGGAGAACAGACATTTGTGGATTTATCGTCATAAATGACATGTTGAGTCTGACTTAGAGAACAGAGTTTGTCCGAGACGGAGCAATAATGAGACTTGAACGAGTTTCCGCTCTTGAGGAGTGTGACAGACGGCGGTCAAGAATTTCCTCCAAAGCCGCAGCAAGAAAGACTCGTTGAATGTTTTGGCCGGAGCAAGACGGCCGGCGTGGGAATTGTGGCGCAGCTCATTCCTCCCATCATGATCATGGCCCGCCCTTGCTGAGCACAAACCCGGACATTTAGCATCTTGCCGCAATCTGCGAGTCTGTTTTCGAACGGTGACCACAGCAATATCATGATATCACCCTTGTAGCGGGCGGACGGTTAGCAACAACCTCAAAGCGTGCTCTCCAAATGCGATGGATTCCTCAATTTTTTTAAATGAGGCAAGCTGGGAGGACTGAAGACGAACACCGACGTCAATTGATTTCCTGAAATTTCAAGACCAACCCACGCTCGCCTTCTCCAAGACCTGTCCATCTTCCCACCTCCCGTGGTGTATTCTTGGTTCGATCTCTCCCCCGGCTGTGCACTGGGACACACTGACAATCCATCGCGCCGGCCAAAGTCCACGACATATCCCGCAGTCTATCAGGCCTTCCTTCTCTTCCTGACCTGGAGTTGGTCCGCAAACGCCAAGCCGCAAGCTCTTTTTAGAACCGGCAACCACAGAAACATCATCATGATCATCCTTATAGGGCTGCACGATTCTCAAGAAAGTCAAGTGCCAAGACGCGCCTGATCTTTTTGAAAACATGACTAGATCGACGTCGAATCATTTCCTGGAATTTCAAGACAAATTTTGCGCAACCCGCTCTCTCCTTCGAGACATGTGTATCGCGTCTCCGCTGGTGTATTCCTGGTTGATGCTTCTTCGACTGCCACGATCAACAAGTCAAGAAAGTGACAGTTTATCTCGCTGGCCAAGCTACCGACAATGATTCTATTATGAGTGCCCATATAAGGCCCTCAGTAAGGTCTTCAACCTGTTGGGACCCTTCTCCCCGTCTTTCTTTCTTTTCGCCCTTCTTTTCATTCATTCAATGCGGCATGTTGGCCCGCAGATATCTATGGTTAGTGCTCATGAAATAAGATTTTCAGATGATGCTCAGACTATGCAGTGTCATTCTTTTTTCATTTTTAGGGTTAGTTTGCGTCAAAGCTGCGCCGTACCCAATTTCGCATGGTCCTACTTTTCCAACGACCTCGAGGAGTAGTATCGGTCCTGGTATGAAATCGGCGTCGACTAAGATTCGGCATTCGCACACGCACGGTGCATCCAAACCGTCGGGTTCCCATCAAGCGATGTATTCCAGGACGAGCTCATCAGTCCCCATATCTGCAGAAACGGATGTCACGTCCAGAAACCACCATTTTTCGGCTTCCTCTGTATCGCACTCTCTATGTGCTGGTTCCGTGAACGTTTCGCCTCCGCCGCAAACCGGCTCCGTCGCTGTATTCCCCTCATCCTTGTCAACGTACATCCCGGCGTCGAGGTTGCAACACAGCGAAGCACACTCGATCAGGAGCACGACATACCCCGCCTCGAGAACCAGTTCCCTCTGCACCCTTCCGGGGGGTTGTTCTTCGGAACAATTATCCACTCAAATATCCACTTCCTCACGTCAGATCACTACCTCTACACGTTCGACCACCACACCGCGTACTAGATCCTGGACGACCTCCGAGTCTGTCTATACTCCTTCCCCTTCATTTGAGGCGTGTGTAATGGCGTGCGCAACGACGAGAACCTGGCCATGGAAATCTTCTCCGACCTCCATTTCTTATATGTCGACTCTGAAGCCGCAGGAAACTTCGAGCACCTCGGAGATTAACACTGTCACCGCGTCCTACACTCCGAATCACCCATCAGCGGAGCCTCCGCATGAAACCTCCCCTCGTGCGACACCTCGTTCCAGTACAACTGTGTCCGCCACCCATTCATTCACATACACATACGCCTCGAACTCGCATCCTTTGACGAGCTCGTTTCAGACCGCAGCTACACTGGGGCCACTACCGACGAGTGCCCCATCCACGGACCTTTCATCCCCGTGCGTAAGTTCACCCTCAGAGCACCCTTGACGGAACCCAATGCCCGTTTATATAGATTTCTACGGCGAAATACAGCATCAGTCGTTGGAATCACGGCGTTGGGCGTGCTCCTGATTGCTGCCAGTGTTGCATGGATTATTTTCTTGAGGCGGCGGCGGCGACAACCACAACGACCTCCAAGCGCGGCAAGCGAGACGTCGTTCTTCCCTGATCGTTTTGTTTCGGCGAGGAGCAGCTTCGTCGAGATATCTAGCGAGGACGGGTTGGCCGCACGCCTGTCGACTTCTCAGGAAGACCCCGAACCCGCAGGACCGCAGATCCTGATAACCTCTGCGACGTCGGCCCCGAATGTGTCACTCAGGGACATGTTGGGTGTAGTTCCTGTTACGATGGAGCCGGCGGAGTATCCCGCCAGCTGTCAGGCTTCCATTATCGACGGGACCGACGGGACCTCTCGGTCGCCGACCCACAGCCGCGGTTCCTCTAGATCTACAGCTCGTCAGAAACCACTCGCGAATGAGAAGGATATGGTCTGGGAAGAGATCAGTGTGCTGGAGAAGCGGGGGTCTCCACAACAAGCCCCCAGAGAAAGTGAGTATGCCGGAATTGCTGAGCGCCGGATAGAAGAACTGTATGCGCGGATACTGGTGCTTGAAAGAGAGGAAAAGTGGAGTTGACGTTGGAGTAGGACCCCGCCAACTCGGCTGCGACTGAAAGGATGGATTGTATGTATATCAACTCGCCCCCTTGATTTCTATGTTTAATTTTTCCGGTAAACCTGTGGACATTGTTGTACATGGACATATATAGAGAAGCAGCCTGAGCTATTTAGACAAAGGGCAGACAGTTACATAAATTAAAGCATGCTGTGTTACAAACCATTGCAATGCCTCAGCAGATTTGCACTAGTGTACTGCTCCGCTAAGGCGGATATGAAACTTGGAACATAAAATTTTTCCTTTTGTAATGCGTACAGTTTCTCCATCTTAATAATTGTAATCGTCGAGTGGCGCCTCGTGCTCAACGACTTTCCATATCTCGTCGATCTTGGCTTTGGCTACTTCCCCCACGGAGCCACGCTTGAGCCAGGCCAGTGTCTCTGGGATCTGGGAGTGCTTGCTCGCACCAAAGACTACCGCGTCGCCGTATTTCGCATCGACGGCCGAATCGAAGGCCATCCACCGGTAGGCCAGCTCCGCTCTGGTGCAACCCGCATCCTTCGCCGCCTCCTCCCACAGATCGAGCGCCTTGTAATACGATGGCCGGTTGTACAGTCGGCGATACATGTACTGCATAGGATGGCTCTTCGAGAAACGCCCGGCATCCGCAGTGGCCTCCCGTAGCTGGTGAGGGGATTTCGTGAGGAGGCCGCCAGCCATGGGGCTGTACACGTAGAACGCGATGCCGAGTGCGCGAAGCGTAGGGAAGAGCTCGGTCTCCACCCTGCGAGCTACGGCGCTGTAATTGCCCTGGTAGACTGTGGGCAGCAGATATCCCTTCTCCTTGCAGATGTCGTAGACTCGCTGCACGTCTGCGGCTTTGAAGTTGCTCAGGCCGAAGCGCTTAAAGCAGCCCGCCGTGTACGCATCGTTGATGCCTTTGAGCTGGTCCTCCAGCACTATCGAGGCGTCCGGCGCGTGGATGTAGTATACGTCGACCTGCGCGTCATTTGCACAGTGAAAATTTGTACCCAGGATCCGTCCACTTACGCTGGTGTCGAGGCGGTCAACCGTCTCTTTGGCGTACTGAAGGATGGTGGCGCCGTTGCCGGTGCCAGGTTCCAAACCGCCAGGCGTCTTGCTATCGATAAAGAATTGTTTGCCGGCATTGGTTTTTCCCAGCAATTCCTCTGAGTTGCCGTATATGCGCGCCGTATCGATAGTATCGCAGCCACCTTCCTTCAGCAGCTGATACACCTCCTCAATACCATCTTCTTCGCTTCCGATGCCACCAACGCCAAAGATGACTTTGACTGAGCTGCTAGTCATGGCGCGTTGACATGAAACGAAATAGTAGATATGGGTGCCAAGACTTTTAGAGAAAGAAAGTTCTCTTTTGTCCGTGATCTGAACGACGGTCTTCAGATTTCGTGTCCAGTACACAAGAAGGGCTGAAACGAGCCTAGGAGAAAATGCAGAAACATGGCGTGGGTGTGGGATTTGCACAAAGAAGCCTTGGTCATGGGTTGCCCAAAGTGCCCGGGAGCTTCACCTAGGGCTGACAGAAGTTTTTTTTGGCCGCAAATGGAATGAAGGTCATTCGGAACGGCGGGCGGAGAATTTCAATGACCCTAGGCGACTCGTGCGACCACCAAGAGACGACAGGCTCTGCAAACGTCGCAACTGACGAAAGTGTCTTGCAAAGACTCGGAGGGATAATGAACTTGAGGGAGTGGAAGAGGGCTGCGCTGAAGAAACCAGAGAGCTGTGACACGGCGGCGGTCTTGTTCCTCAGAAATTGTGCGAATCCAAGTTGTCCCGTTCGAACGCCTCCACGGCCCGATGACGAGGGGGGCTACTGACACAGCTTAGTTAAGAAAAAAACCGAATTTTACGATTTTTACTTCCAACCGCTTGGGATTTTCAACTGCCCCCTGGCCCAGCTGGTTAAGGCGCACGACTGTTAAGCGCACATCGTGAGAGCGTGAGTTCGATCCTCACGGGGGCAGGTATAAGAGTCGTCGCAGTCTGCAAGGACGTTATTTTTGTGAGGTTTTACCGTTTTTCTGTTCAGTAATGATTTTTCCCATGATTCCACCAGTTATATGTCAACTTGAGGGAAACTCTCGGCCACACCGTATCCAAAATGGGCGACGTGTCCGGGACTTGCACGGCAGAGAAACCAGAATGATTTGAATCCGAATGCGAAGACGAAAAGGCAAGAAAGGTGGCCGATCGAATTGATCAAAGATCGCGATCGTACTATTACTAGAGATGGTCAAGTTCAAGTCAAGCGGAAACAGTTGGCCTTGTGCTTGTGTGGGAAGGATTATGGGCCTGGAGAGTCTCAAGAGATTGGGAGTGAAGCTCTACGAACAGCAGAGAGAGAGACAGGCAGAGACATTGAAGTCGAGACTCGGCTTTGAAGATTTGAATTGCCTAAGACCAATATGAGACGGAGGTAGGTAGGTAGGTAGGTAGGTAGGATTACACGGCACGGTCCCCCTTAGGAACGCCGGGGCCCAGGAAGTATCTGAGTGTACAGGCACTTTGTACACTACGGTCCCTGGACTTCTCCACTCCCCCGTAGCCGAGCTCACGGTCGCAATCTCCCGACTCGCCGCGGTAGAACTAAAGGAAAAATAGAGAAGCAAATAGTGAAAAACGAGAACCTCGAAACAAACCCGGGACACAGGAACAGCCCAAATCCCTCCAGGTTAACACACACATATCCGTGAGGCAGGGATTAAACCATGATGAATTGTAGGTGTAACGGACTTGTCATTGAACTGGAAAGAGCACAGTAATGTGTCGTAGTTCAAAGTCCAGTTTTCTGAACCTACAAGGTTTATCCAACCTCAGTATGGGCTGATGTGCAGTGCATAGCCCCCAGAGACTCAAGTCGTCCGTGATGTAAGGAGAGCTTGTCATTCGAGTCAATTGACCCCGCACCCATTCCTTTGACAGTATGTCCACCAGTTACGCCTTTTTAATGTATTTTGGTTCGTTACCATAACATTAAGCACTGGGAACTTGTAGTGGAATGGGAGAATTGTCACAGTCCCAATTAGTCTTTGACCAATACTTTCACTTATTGCCTTAAGTTCATTGGAACTGCCACGAGAGGTGAGTGTAAAGTTTTCAATCAAGGCTAAGACTCCGTTGGGGACGGCCGGGTATCAAAGTCGAAGAGGAATTATCACCGTTTTCCGGGTGCAGATCAACTTTCAAGGATTCAGGAAAGAGATTGAAGAGATGGTGTCGCAATAGATGGAAGGAAGAAGGAAGCTGCATTAGGGGCAAGCAGCATTCCATATGACTTCTGTTCCCTATTTGTGATGTTTCGCGAGCGCCAATGTCCGTGATCTCAGTTACTGTCCATGATAGCAAGCCACTGTGCCCGCACATTTAAAGAGAACTGTTCAGAAGTTTGTGAAAAGCAGGTTTAGGTCTTTGAGGGTTCGTATGGGCGTGATCGAGCATAGCACATTTTGGGATGAGATGAGCCATGTTACCGTAAAGTGGGGAGTAAACCATTTCTTTCCAGAATGATGAAGCCCGTGGAACGCCAAGATAGACCAAGCAATTTAATTTGTCAGAGTGTCCGCGTAGATGTTGATCTGACGGCGGCAGAAATATGCTGACTCAGCGGACTTAAGCGAGAATTGGTGAAAAGGCAATGTGGCAGCGAGACGAGCCAGCGACCGCGAGCACAGAGAAGACTGATGAAGGAGCTAAGAGCCAGTGGAGAGGCACGTCAGTGGGACGCCGTGTGCGGTCAAACGAGGCTCAAGGACTAATTATGAGCTGGATGCGCTGTGATCTTATCGGATACGGTTTTTTCGTACATGACAAATTTTGCCGCCTTTCAGTCATTCTCTGCATCTCAAGGGCTCGTGTAGGTAGCTCGCAGAAGCTGTAGCTCTGTTGGCTTGACAGGCAGTCTGGGCGTGCTCACGGCGAACTTGGATTTTGGGGATGATGGAAAGAATGGAGGAAAACACCGCTGAAATAGGAGTTTTTTTATTTATTTTTATTTTTATTTTTTGAATCAATATTATTTGCCCCTCGCCGCGTGCAGCATGGTGGGCATTCTTCTACACGAAATGCAAGTCTCCAGTAGTTAATTGAAATAGGAGTTGACGCGGCACCATAAGCCTCAAGAACTCAACAAGAACTTGAAGAAGAAAATCGACGAATGAAAGCGCTACAGGTCAACCACAAGTGGATTTCTCGCTTTATAGTCAAAAGTTGGACAAAAGGAAAGGCTGCCGGTTTGACCCGTATGGTTTGGTTGAGATCCGGAGGCCCCCGATCGTTCGTTTCCTATGTTTTCTCACACGCACGTAGAGCTTTACGCACCGGAGGAAATATGCGCTACTTATGCAAGTCTGATCTAGCCCGTCCGCTGACTCGCTGTCTTCGAGGTTACGCGTCCTGAACTCACGGAACACCGGGTTGGTCACTCTATCCATCCGTCTGCAAGTCATAAACTCAGGTCGCAAAATGCACCGGCATCGGAGACGAAGCCTCTTGAATATCGCAAGACTCTGAAGTTTGAATATTTATTCTTGCACTCGACTTTCACCTGCAAGAAACTTCTGCCAGCCTCCAATGCCACTGCCGATTCGTAATCTCTCGACAACTCATGATTGATATCTGTGAAGACCTCTGGCTGAAAATGCACGAAATGTCATCATCTTTTACACCTCCGCTTTCGAACGGTCTCTGAGTCAGGGCGCCGACTGCGCATTTATTTACGGTTTACACGGTGAACACCATGGCGAGCGGGGTCAAAATCATCTTTGGCGGGCGGCATCGGCAGGAACTTCCCCGAGGCAGAGAGCATGGAGAAGGTGTATCAGCTGCTGAAGGAAGGCGGTTGCGACACTATCGACACGGCGCGTTTTTACGGTGTCTCGGAAGAGTCACTGGGCAAAACTGGTGCCAGCAAGCAATTCTTTATCGATAGCAAGACGCCTGGCGGTTTGGAACCCGGCACCGGCAACGGCGCCACCATCCTTCAGTACGTCAAAGAGACGGTTGACCGCCTCGACACCAGCGTAAGTGGACGGATCCTGGGTACAAATTTTCACTGTGCAAATGACGCGCAGGTCGACGTATACTACATCCACGCGCCGGACGCCTCGATAGTGCTGGAGGACCAGCTCAAAGGCATCAACGATGCGTACACGGCGGGCTGCTTTAAGCGCTTCGGCCTGAGCAACTTCAAAGCCGCAGACGTGCAGCGAGTCTATGACATCTGCAAGGAGAAGGGATATCCGCTGCCCACAGTCTACCAGGGCAATTACAGCGCCGTAGCTCGCAGGGTGGAGACCGAGCTCTTCCCTACGCTTCGCACACTCGGCATCGCGTTCTACGTGTACAGCCCTATGGCTGGCGGCCTCCTCACGAAATCCCCCCACCAGCTACGGGAGGCCACTGCGGATGCCGGGCGTTTCTCGAAGAGCCACCCTATGCAGTACATGTATCGCAGACTGTATAATCGGCCATCGTATTACAAGGCGCTCGATCTGTGGGAGGAGGCGGCGAAGGATGCGGGTTGCACGAGGGCGGAGCTGGCCTACCGGTGGGTGGCCTTCGACTCGGCCGTCGATGCGAAATACGGCGACGCGGTAATCTTTGGTGCGAGCAAGCACTCCCAGATCTCGGAGACGCTGGCCTGGCTCAAGCGTGGCTCCGTGGGGGAAGTAGTCAAAGCCAAGATCGACGAGATATGGAAAGTGGTCGAGCACGAGGCGCCACTCGACGATCACAATTACTGAGATGGAGGAACCGTGTATTCAAAAAAAAAAAGTCCGTCCAAGAACAGTACGCCGAATCGGTCACTGGCAGAAATTAACATATTTGCTATGACGCCTCCGATGCGGAAGCTATATTTGAAAATCGAGGAAACGGTATGGAGGTGCTCTTTGGAGGAGTTGAGGGCCGATTTCTCCCGTAACGTGATTCCGGTGTGATCCGAGTGGTCTCAAAGGTTAAGAAAAACTCAAAGGTTAAGAAAAAGGTTTCTTCCACAAGCTCGACCTCGCTCCACAGAATCAACTCCATTTTACAGGCTTCTGGGGCGTGTAGAAGGCTCAATTTGACTAGACAGTGTCTATCGACCCTCTGCAAACTGTTGAATACAAACAACACACTTGCCTTCCGGCCGAGACTCGTCGCTCGAATCCCCATTCTCAAGAGACTATGTCCTACTGCAGCTTACTTCGCCCCGGTGACACTGACGATTCGTCATCTGAACACGCTATGATTGCGCTATGGTATTTTTAACCAAGTCTTCCACGAAATGACAGAGATCCTCCCTCCACCAACCCACCCATTGCACATCCATCTGGGATTCAATTTTCACGGCTACCGCATACCATGGCCGGAAACTCAGTTAAAGCCGTCTTTGGGGGAGGCACCATCGGCAGGAATTTCACCGACGAAGAGAGCATTGAGAAGGTGTACAAGCTGCTGAAGGAAGGCGGCTGCGATAACATCGACACGGCGCTCCTCTACGGCAACGGAAAATCGGAGGAGCTCCTCGGCAAAACCGGTGCCCGCAAGCAGTTCGTCATCGACAGCAAAACGCCTGGCGGTTTCAAGCCAGGCAGTAACGGCGCAACCATCCTGCAGCACGCCCAAGATACGGTCGAGCGGCTGGGCACCAGCGTAAGTGAACGGAGCTCAAGTACCGAAGTTCCGACTGTGATACCTGATGTGTAGGTTGACGTATTCTATATCCACGCACCGGACGCCTCGGTAGAGCTCGAGGACCAGCTCAAAGGCATCAACGATGCATACATGGCGGGCTACTTTAAGCGCTTCGGCCTGAGCAACTTCAAAGCTGCAGACGTGCAGCGAGTCTACGACATCTGCAAGGAGAAGGGATATCCTCTGCTCACAGTCTACCAGGGCAACTACAGCGCGGTGGCGCGCAAGCAGGAGACCGTGCTCATCCCCACGCTTCGCAAGCTCGGCATCGCGTTCTACGTGTACAGCC